ACACTGTGTTATCTCTGACATCAGCATCTGCAGTTGTTGCTATCTCTAGTTGGGAGAGAAGATGAACAGGTTGAGTCAGGTCAGGGAGGTGGGGATGAGAGGGATGGCTGGACATGGGATGAGGCCGGGGGTTGGGGAGATTTTAAAAGTGGTGAATTCCATGTTTAGGCCATCGGGCTGTCCGCTCCCAAGGTGATATATGAGGTGTTGCTTCTCCAGTTTGCGTGTTGTGTCATTGTGGCACTGGAGAAGGTGCTGCCTCATGCTCCCACAGGGAGCTTGAACAGATCATCAACTTTACTAACACCTTTCACCCCAACCTCAAGTTCAACTGGACCATTTCCAATACGTCCTTCTCCTTTCTGGACATCTTCGTCTCTATCTCTGGTGATTGCCTTCAAACTGACATCTATTTCAAGCCTACCGACTCCCACAGCTACCTGGACTACACCTCCTCTCACCCACCTTCCTGCAAGAGTGCGATCCCTTACTCCCAATTCCTCCACCTGTGCTGCGTCTGCTCCCAAGATGGGGCATTCCACTCCCGGACATCCCAGATGCCCTCCTATTTCAAGGACCGCAACTCCCCCCCTCCGATGATCAAAAATGCCCTCAACTGCATTTTTTGCATTTCCCACAATTCTGCCCTTACACCACCCCCTCAAAAAAAAAAGACAGAGTCCCCCTGGTCCTCACATACCACCCCACCAATCTCCGCATCCAGCATATCATTCTCCGCCACTTCTACCACCTACAACCTGACCCCACAACCAAAGAGATAGTTCCCTCCCCACTCCTATCTGCCTTTAACAGAGACTGCTCTCTCCGCAACTCCCTCATCCACTTCACACTCCCCACTAACCCCACCAACGCCAGCACCTGTCCTTGCAACCGCAGGAAGTGCTACACCTGCCCCTACACCTTCCCCCTCACGCCCATTAAAGGCACAAAACAAACCTTCCACATCAAACAGAGATTCACCTGCACGTCTGTCAACTTGGTCAACTGTATGTGCTGCTCCCAATGTGGCCTCCTCTACATCAGTGAGACCAAGTATAGACTTGGAGACTGTTTTTGTAGAGCATCTGTGCTCTGTACATGACAAACGGCAACACCTTCTGCTCCCCAACCATTTCAACTTCCCCTCCCACTCCCTGGGTGACATGTCCATCCTGGGCCTCCTCCAGTGTCACAATGACACCACCCGCAAACTGGAGGAGCAACACCTCATATTCCGCCTCGGGAGCCTACAGCCCGATGGCCTAAACATGGAATTCACCAGTTTTAAAATCTCCCCACCCCTGGCCTCATCCCATGTCCAAGCCTCCCTCTCATCCCCGCCTCCTTGACCTGACACAACCTGTCCATCTTCTCTCCCACCTATATGCCCCACCCATCCCACTGACCAATCCCCATCACTCCCTACCTGCACTCACCTATCACCATCCCACCTACCTTCCCCAGTCCCAATCCTCCGCTTATTTCTGAGCTCCCTTCCCCCTCCCCATTTCTAAAGAGGAATCCCGTCCCGAAACGTCAGCTTTCCTGCTCCTCTGATGCTGCCTGACCTGCTGTGTTCCTCCAGCTCCACACTATGTTGTCTCAGTTATACTGAGTTTACGCCCTGTTATCTTGCCTCAAATCTGTAGTTTTCTTTAAGCTCTTGATGTTCTCTTCTGAAGTTAATTGACTTTCTGACATTTAGAGCACGTGTGAATGGATTTCGTTTGAGGTTGAATGTGCGATATCTCAGTGAATGGATTTTGATTGAAATTGAATGTCTAGTATTTCTGTAGGCCCCTTACTGTGTGTGCTGATTTCCCGAAGTGTAAAATCTGGCTCAGGCTAGAGTCTGTTAGTTTTGGTCGATTTTGTTTTAAGAGAGGAGATGTAAATTAGAATTCCATGCTGAAAAATTGTCCCAGATAGCACTCTCCATTCTACTGGCTGTGTGTGCATTTGCTACAGCCCCAGTTCAGCTGTAGTGCAGGGCTTTGCCCACTACTTTAGATAGTGAAAAGGTCCAGGGTCTTCTCCAGTATTTTAGATGATGAGGATTTTTTTGCTTAATCCTACATGTCCTCCCTTTGATACTCTTTGCCCTAGAGTGTTCCTCTGGGTGAGCAAAAATTGTCAATACTGCAAAGCCAACTCTCTAAATTACCTAATCCCCACACACATTTTTTCCCATACCTTGCATGACAGTGCATTGTCCCCTGAAAGGAAAACAAAAGGCAGGATTAGGGACAATCAAAACACGCAGGTACATGGTACACAGTGCACCTACACGTCACTAAACTTAAATCTTAAGTACAATTATACAGTAAGATGTAGGTCTACACAGGGAAACAATGTGCACCCCAAAAGGTCCTCATAGAAACACAATTTCCTCCAACATTTACACTCCTGGTCCGTTGTATACTCTGGCTCAGGACTGGCAGGCTCTTGCCTTACAACTGGCCCACAGTAAGTACATGATGATCCCAACTTGACATAAAACCAAATCATGGGAGATCACCCAGATCTAAGTAGGAATTTCCATGTCCAACTCCAGATCCCACCATGGTTTTACTGTTAGTTCTATTACTTCTTTCTCTATTTCCTAGGTTGTCTGTTCTATTGTGTAAAACAATTTCTGGGACACTTTCACTGCTTTGAGTAGGGAAGCGAGGGGGGAAATGGTGTCACTCCAAATTCCACCTTCTCCATTTTCCTATGCCTAATGAATTAGCGTTTCCCGCAGTAAAGGTGCATGGATCTGCTGTGTTTGTGTCCCTGAAGATTAGCTCGCAGAACTCTTGGAACATCTCCCAGAGCAAGGCCAAGTACTGTCGCTCTGTCTCCTGTGGGCACCACTTGGGTAAGTGGACTTCAGGTAAGTTTAGTATAGAAATTTGTCAGTTTGGACTCCAACTAGACCATCCCCTGGTCCCACGATGGTGGGAGGACACCTATCAATGTCGATATGTACCATTGGGTCGGTGGGCAGGGATTTTCTGGGGAGTGCAGTGAGCTCGGTGGTGTTAATAGTGGTTGGGGGTAATGGGACCACGCAGGAGTCCATCCTCTGATCCAAACTGATCCTGTCCCTGCTGTCTTGCCATTGAATGCAATGGACAGCCCCGCCAGACAGATCCTTTCTGATCCCCACATATACACATACAAACCTGTTCAGATTTCCACCATTTGTCCCTGCACACTCACTCCTCTCTGCGTCCCCACCATCGTCTGGTAGGTGTTATTGTCCAGTTGCTCCCAGTCAGCTATCTGGTGCCTTGTGTCCCGGCTCAGTTTCCTGAGCCACCACCACCTACCCAATGGAATGTCCCCCTTACAGCTGACACATACCAGTTTTCTCTCTCATTCCCCTAACTAGGGAAGCGGTGATCCTGATCCTCGTGCACAGGATGGTTGCCTCCTTGTAGGTGAATGCAGCGTGATAGGAGTATCAAGTCTAATTCGACCTCAGTCATTGTGACTACCTCCCTGGTGGAAGGAGACAGTCCCCTCCATGCCCAGTGGTAATGGTGGTTGCTCTCTGTCCTGAGCACCCATAGATGAGGGACTCCTCGGTGTCTCCCCTGTGACCAGTACTTGGCCCTGTCAAAGCAATCAGCACCAACAGCTTTGCGTACAGCATTTCTCCTGACCCGGTCCTCATGCTACAGCCTTGCTCTGCCTCCCTTAAGTCAAATTTCACGTTCTTGACTTTCTTATCCAGTACCCAGGCCTGTCACTGAAGGTAGATGAGCCAGATTGCTTTCTCTATGGAGCCTTTATGCTCCCTGCTGTCAGGCCACTAAACTGCTTCCTCTGCTACACGTTCAGCTCGCTAGCAATCAAGGACACTTTTCTTTGGTATGTTTACCTTTCTGAACATGTAGGAGATCCTCTCCTCCATCAGAGACTCTGCTTCTGAAACACCCTCTACCACATCATATTCCCTCTGCCAGTGTCCTTCCATGGTCACCATTTTGTAGGGTTCTGGTTTACAAGCAGTTATTTTCTGCTGTTTAAGTGGTTTGAATCATCCCCGGTTCTGGACCCTGGACTTACTTAGGGAATGTGAAATGAAGAGGCAGTAGGTAGGTGTTTCAGGCAAAAAAAATCTCTTGTTTAGTTGAAATACAAAAAAAGGTAATTCTAGTACAAGAAAAAAATAGGTATTGCAACAACTCAAGGAAATTGACACAAGCTGTTATACAGGAGAACAGTAGTACTTTAAATAGACAATTAACTAGATTAATGCTATTAGAACACTACCCTCTAGACACGCACAGAAAACAAGAGTGTTTAATTTCAGACTCTTTAATCAAAATTCCTACCCTGTGGTCCCAATGCACTGTCAGCACCGGCCTTTCTCTCCCTGCCAGCTAGGTCACAACTTTGGGGTCTCGGAGTTAATGCTCATCACTCAGAACATGGTTTTGAAGTGCACCCGGTTGTTGAGGTTCTTGCCGTCGGTTCTCTTGGTTTGGTACTGGCCTGAATCTGGAAGCTGTTGTTCGGATAGTGCTTGGTTGACCTTCCCCCACCCCCGGATGTCCTTTGATCTGATGATGCTCTTGGTTTGGCTTCCTGATTCAGCTTCTCTTGGGTCTTGCTGCCTGTTGGCGGTGGAAGTTTGTTGAAAAAGCCTCTTCCCCAGGTGAAATTAGGGCTAGCAATTATGCTGATTCTGTGCCCAGTTATCTCCCCTCAAATCTGTAGTTTTCTTTAAGCTCTTGATTTTCTCTTCAGAAGTTAATCAGCTTTCCGAGTGTTAGAGGATATGGGAATGGATTTCAATTGATGTGCAACATCCAGTATCTCTGTGAATGGATTTCAATTGAAGTTGAATGTCCGGTATTTTAGGTGATGATGGAGTTTTGCTCGATCCTACAATCTACTGGCCTGAGCTAGTTTAAATTCCTAATGTTAGATGTTAATTGGATGCTGCAATAATGTAGGTCAATTAATTGTGTGCATATAGATCACAATAATTAAATACATATTCCAGATGCAGGTAGAAAATAATGACTGTATTGTGAAAGAAATCAAAATCACACGAATAATGTATTTAAACACATTAAGCATGTCATGATCAAACAGCTGGTCACCTGGCAGTTTGAACAACAAGTATGGTGATCAAACTAGTACTTCCATCTAGATGTATTGATCATGTATATCAATTAAGTTAAAACAAAAAACTGCTCACAGTTCAGTTTTAAAAGTATATAAATTCAGTAAACTGTTTATTCAGTGCTGTAATAACAAAAATTCTCTTGTACCCGAAATTGTCAAGATTACATTTTTTTTTAAAGCCAGTCACTTGCAGTGCTCCAATAATGTAGTCTTTTAAAAAAAAAGTCTGCAAACATTGTACTTGGCTTTATACTGAAATTATTAAATTATTGGATCAGTGTTTGTTCTTGTGCCTGAACAATGAAACACCCCTCGGAGGAACAGTCGTGAGAATGACAGCTTTTTTTTTGTTAAAGCCTGTCTCAAGGTCATGGTGTAATTTGTGGCATCAGCCTGGTCTTTCTTGTGGTTTTACTGTGATACCATGTTGTGCTGGGATATTTGCTAGCCCAGATGCTTCTACCCTCAAGACAGTGCCTTGTCTTGTGTCCAGATTAATACGTGACTCTGTTAAAAGGCATTTTTTTTTTTTTTAAAATGAACCAGCATCACTTATTCCTGGTGCACGTTGGACAACTAAAGTTTCACTGTAGTACTTCAGCATTTTCACATCAAAATGGCTGCATAGGCAAAAATGAGAGTACATTTAAACAGAAGTAGCTTTTGACTTGTAATGGAGATTGAGAGGTCAGATACCAAGGGCAGTTGTTTAATACACTCCCCAAAAGGTGATTTTGTTTGCAAGGAGGGCATTTCGTGTGCTGGATGACAAGCAAACTATTTCTGTGACACCTCCTTCATTAAGTCTCCGGGGACAAGTCCATGACATGGGAATTAATGTCCATGTAATGATTTCATTCCACCATTGTTGGTATTAACTCAGCAGTTGTGCAGGGATTCTCATGTGTGGAGCATGACAAGCTCCTGGGGTGGGGTGGGTGGAATCGTTTATGCACAGGCATTCAGTGCCTAGTCATGCAACTTAGCATTGGTAAGGGATGGGTTCACTGAAATCTCCCTCAAACCACTTCCCATGATCACTCAACCCGAACTGGAATCCAGCAACAATACTAAGCCTCAGAGTGTTATACTAGCAACAGCCACCATCCTCCCAGTGGTGCTACTTTTCAATTGAGCTGCCAGCAATTGTCTAGATAAGTACCTAAGCGGTATTTAATTCAGCAGGCATTTCCTTAAAGAGGCTTTGCCAGCAACTGAGAGATTGGTCATCTCCAACAAAATACTGACCCAAGATTGCGACAGTTAGAGTTTATGTACAAGTGTATTGAGTGATGTTTCAATGGATATATTCTATGGCCTCAACATTTTACTGCATTTTGTATACCTTGGGTGAAGGAATGGAAAGATGCAGTTTCAAATTTGCAGAGGAGTGCCAAGGAGGGGCAGTAAATAGGACCGAGAGTATGAAAGGTACAAAGAAGAAAAGGGAAATTGTCGTTTTGCTGACTTAACCAAATCGGTATGGGCGAGGGTAACATCATTCACTCCAAAAGCAAACAAACTCAGTATTTTTTTTAAAACATGGTCAGCCATTAAATTTTCGATGAGCAAAGAGATTAGACAGTCCAAGCGCACAAATTATTAAAAAGTAACAGACCGGTATAAAAAGCAAACAAACAGGCAAATGGAGTACTGACCTTTATCTCAAGTCAGCTGGAATACAAATAAAGTAAATTAAGTTTTGTTTTGCCGTGGTCAGAGTCCATTTGGAGTGCTGCATTAATGTTGTGCACTGCACCTCAAGGAAAGTTGTTTTAATTAAACAGTTTGGACATGTTATAACACACCTTCGGGACAAGCGGGACTTAAACCCATACCTTCCTACCTAGAGAGACAGACATTACTACCACACCATAACAGCCTTCCTGATTTATATTGCCCTGAGCCTAAATTTGAGAAGTAATCTGATTGAGGTATTTAAAGAGTTAAATAGATTTAATAGTTTCTGATTCTACCCTATTTCATTATACAATAATATTACAAAGGCCACATCTTAATTGGAAACCGGCCATTTAGGAGCAAAGTTAGGAAGGACTTGTTTTCCACAAACACAAATGATAGTAAAAATTTGTATGTTTAATTAAAATAAAAAAAAAAAGAGTAAAAAGCTGCAGCTGCTGAAACAATTAAAACTTTCAAGACAGATGTATTATCAAGTCTTATTCAACAAAGGAATCAAGGTATATGGGGTAAAGACAGTTTACTTATAGATAAACCAGGATCTAATGGGATGGCTTGAGAGCTTAGTACTGTATCCTAACATTCTTATATTCATTCTGAAGATGCAACCCTTATAGTTTCACTCATTTGTGAGACCCCCATGCTGCAACCTGAAATTTCAGCATAACATTAAAAATCTTTGGTTACGTTTTTCTTTCTCAGTGTCAGCATTTCAATAAACTTCAGCTCCGAAATAAATAAAGAGCAGAATAACAATATACATTTGAGATTACTCAGAACAGCTCTTAGGAGTTATTTTCTGTGGCCTTAGCATTCAACTATGGAGCAATTTGTTGGATTGTTCTACCAAACATGAATCCCTTAAGTAACCCAAGCATGGTGTCGTTATTCTAATATTCGTACACTACATAGCTGTGTATTCTTATTTTAAAATTGCCATTTTGTAAAGTGAAGATTTGTTCCTCAAGTGTGGCACTTACCAATATTCTGATGGAAATATATTTACATTCAATCCATTTGCAGTGGTAGAATGTCAGTTACGGTAATAATTAATTTTAAACCCATTCATTGAATTAATTCAATAAGCTTTGAAAAGCAGAGTCTTCCTACTGATTATTAGTCTCCAAAACATTTTCCTTTCCATGTATTCTTTGAGCAGTTGGTGAGTCAACTGGATTCAATTCTCATGGCAGTTTGCAGATTTTGAGCCACTTATGTTATGCACATGCCATCCAGTTTACTCTCACAGTTGACAGCTTATAATTACCAACGTTATTAACTTGGATCTTAAAGCCAGAGTCTGTAATATCAACAGCTTTTACTGTTACTCCAATTGAATCAACTGAGCTGATTTCAGACAAGCTCAGCACAATCACAGGATCCTTCAATATGCGATGAGGGAAGTTAACTTCGCGGATGTGTGGCCAAGCACAGTTGTCTGCAGTTTCACAATAAGTTCTTACTTCACCTGAAAGACCTGTTTAAAACAAAGATAAAGTATTATTGTCATGAAAAAGTTTTAGCCAAAGTTCCAAACCTGCACAATACATTGGCTTTAAAGCTCTTCAATTTAAATTGTTATTTAAATATGTGACATGAATTACAAACTTTGACTGTTGATTGTTGTTGTTTTTAGAAAAGTGATCCACTCTCCCTCAGTAACTAAGAGACATGTGCAATAACTGTCTGAGGCCTAAATAAAGGATTGCAGGCAGCATGGGTAGCTGCATCAGAACACTGATTTCAAAAGTAAAACTGCTGGATTTGACGCCATCCCGCAGCATGTCATAAAATACAATACGTGGTCCATGCATCCCTGATCTGTCTCCCATTTCATGAAGATGGAGGAGTTGTTGGGTCATCCTCTCATTCTTGGATGATTAAGGCTGTTGGGTGGGCATTAACTGGCTATACAAGTGCCTTATCCCACCTTCTGCCATTATTTTACCCATGGTAGGGGGAGACCCATGATTAGTGGGTCACCCAGCAGCTTTTGTGTGGGTTGCATTTGGACAAGGGTTTGGGTTTTGGGGAAACTCCTTTGGGAATCCCATGTGCCTAGAGATACCCATCTCTGAAGACCATGTCCCTTTAACACTGTATCCCCCTGCCCCAGGGACCCCCACACACATGCTGCCAACCTACCATCAGGCTTCCTATACTCTCAGCGTGCATCAATCTGGCCTCGCTAACCACTTCTTCAAATTGGATGTAATTCTACAAATTGGATGTAATTCTATCACTGCTTGACTTACACTACTGAGACGACAAACTACTGTACAACTGAATTAGCTAGCAAACGTCTGAGCTGGGACTTGTTCTCCAAATGGAAGTGGAAGTCTCAGTCTGAGCCAATTAGCATCATTTTATGGGTTGTGCCCAGACATTTCAGTCAAGTATGGTGGGGGAGAGGTAGTAAGTGAGGGTCACAGCATCCTGTAAAATCCAGCACCAAGGGCAGCAGAAGAATCAGAAACACAGGATTTCCACTTTGGCACACTATCCAGCAATATCCATCCCTCTGGGTGATTGTAGATAGAATGAGAACAAAAACTGCTGGAAATCACAGCTGGTCAGGCAGCATCCATGGAGAGAGGGGAAACTAACATTTTGAATCTGGATGACTTTTCTTCAGAGCTGACATGAATTGTGGAGGGGACAGGATTTTTGCAATAGTGGGGCGGGGCAGGGCAGGGCAGTGGGATGGAAGTAGTGCTGTGGGACAAAGGCTGCTGGTCGTGAAGATTAAGTAATCAGAGCCTTGCATTCTCTCTCACCATGTCCTCTCTCCCTACTACCACTCCAGTGAGACTACCTGTTCTTTCCAGTTTGGCGGTTTGACATTCCATTGTTCTGCCTCCTACACTGTAGATAGGATAGAGTTTGTGTCAAGGTTATGATGCTGAATAGCCAATCAATATTCAGATCAAGTCCCATGCCTTAAGCGATTTAGAGAGAATGGGCCTATTGAACCAAGCCCGAGAGACATTAGCAAGTTCTTTTCCAAAAACCCAAGGAACCTTGATACAAGCATCCCTGAACTTTTATGGCAATGAAGATTTTTAATTCTGTGACCATACTTACACTGCTCAACAGTGCTCTTAAGAGCTGTTTCAATCTTCTCCAAGTTTTTTTGCACAGAATGAACTCTTTGATCCAAGGCATCTGCTAGCTGTTTACTTCGATTAATCCCATTACTTGCAACCTGAATTTCATTAAAAAAAATTGTCAATAGTGAAATTTATCTTACTTATCATAACTTGAGTTCCATATTTATATGTGCATCTTGTAGCAATTTACTAAACTAACACCCAGTTCCCCAGTCATTGAGTAGATATGCTACTCCACAATTACATGGGCCATGATGCTATGTACATGGATCTGTATAATTTAACAGCATGCATATGGTAGTTAGGAGGAAAACTAAGATTACTATCTCTCCACAATTACAAATATTCAGCTGGTTATAACATCCTATTTGCACTTGGTCAAGTATTAATGTAACAGCAAAAGTTGGTCGCCGATGGAAATCCAAATGAAAGCTTGTCCATTTATACCACGGCTTTAATATTGCCAAAAGAGTTGACTATATACAGAGCTTGGGGTTACCTTGAGATTATTACACAATGGTTTTTGACTTGATAATTATCAGTAACATCCGAGGGTAACAGTCTTGTACTACATTCAATTACATTATGAAATGTGTAAAATTTCGCTAGTGAGCCTCAAATATTTGACCACTTTTTGCCAGTATAGTTTAGTTTAGGAGGACATGATTTTTAAATATTCTGCCACCATTGTTGAGATATCTTCCATTTTTCTTTCTACTTGCAAGTCTTCCAATTACACCCATTGAGGATGACACCACAGTGCAGAAATACAAATGTTATAAAAGTTGAAGCTATATTATTCAAACATTTACTTTTACAGTCATAGAGATGTACAGCATAGACCCTTCAGTCCAACTCATCCATGCCAACCAGATATCATATGTAAATCTAGTCCCAATTGCCAGCATTTGGCCCATATTCATGTAAACCCATCCTATTCATATTCCCATCCAGATGCCTTTTAAATGTTGTAGTTTGTACCCGCCTCCACCACTTCATCTGGCAGCTCATTCCATACATGCACCACCCTCTGCGTGAAAAAGTTGCAGAGGGTGAAAACATTGCCCCTTAGGTCCCATAAAAATTTCCCCTCTCACCTTAAAGCTATGCCCTCTAGTTGTGGACTCTGCCACCCTGGGGAAAAAACCTTGCCTATTCACCCTATCCACGCCTCTCATGATTTTATAAACTTCTATAAAGGTCACCCCTCAGCTTCCGACACTCAAGAGAAAATAGCCTCAGCCCATTCAGTCTCTCCCTATAGCTCAAACCCTTCAACCCCGGCAACATCTTTTTAAATCTGTTCTGAACTCTTTCAAGTTTCACAACATCCTTCCTATAGAAGGGAGACCAGAACTGCACGCAGTATGCCAAAAATGGCCTAAACAATGTCCTGTACAGCTGCAACATGACCTCCCAACTCCTATACTCAATGCACTGACCAATAAACAGAAGTGTACCAAATGCTGCCTTCACGATCCTATCTATCTGCTACTCCACTTTTAGGGTACTATGACCTACACTCATAAAACATAGAACAGTAAAGGCCCTTTGGCCCACAATGTTGTGCTGAATTTTTACCCTAATCCTAAGGTCTATCTAACCTCCACGCCTACCTTATACTATCATCCATATGCCTATCCAATAGCTGCTTAAATGCCCCTAATGAGGCCGAATCCACTACCCTCTCCGGCAATGCATTCCACGCCCCGACCACTCTCCAAGTAAAGAACCTACCTCTGACGTCTCCCCTATATCTACCTCCACTCACTTTAAAACTATGCCCCCTCCTAATAGCTATCTCCACCCTAGGAAAGAGTCTCTGGCTGTCCACTGTATCTATACCTCTGATCATTTTGTACACCTCTATCAAGTCACCTCTCATCCTTCGTCGTTCTAAAGAGAAAAGCCCTAGCTCTCAACCTTTCCTCATAAGACCTTCCCTCCATTCCAGGCAACATCCTGGTAAATCTCCTCTGCACCTTTTCCAACGCTTCCACATCTTTCCTGTAATGAGGCGACCAGAACTGGACACAATATCCAGATGTGGCCGAACCAGGCTTTTGTATAGCTGGAGCATAACTTCACGGCTCTTGAACTCAATCCCTCTGTTAATGAAAGCTAACACACCATACGCCTTCGTAACAACTCTATCCACCTGGGTGGCAGCTTTCAGGGAACTGTGGACATGAACCCCAAGATCCCTCTGCTCCTCCACAATTTCAAGAATCTTTCTGTCAACCCTGTATTCTGCTTTCAAGTTTGTCCCTCCAAAATGAATCACCTCACACTTTTCAGGGTTAAACTCCATCTGCCACTTCTCAGCCCAGCTCTGCATCCTATCAATGTCCTTCGTAACCTAGAACAGCCCTCCGCACTGTCCACAACGCGACCCACCTTCGTATCGTCCGCGAACTTACTAATCCACCCTTCATCCAAATCATTTACAAAAATCATAAACAGAAGAGGACCGAGAACAGATCCTTGTGGTACACCACTCGTAACTGAGCACCATGTTGAATATTTTCTGTCCACTACCACCCTTTGTCTTCTAAGGATCAGCCAATTCTGAATCCAATCTGCCACATTTCCCCCTATGCCAAGCCTCCTTACCTTCTGCATGAGCCTACCATGGGAACCTTATCAAACACCTTACTTAAATCCATGTATACCACATCCACTGCTCTACCTTCATCCATGTGTTTGGTCACCTCTTCAAAGAATTCAATAAGGTTTGTGAGGCATGATCTACCCCTCACAAATCCATGCTGACTATCACAAATCAAACTGTGCTTTTCCAAGTGATCATAAATCCTATCTCTCAGAGCCCTTTCCAATAATTTGCCCACCACTGACATAAGACTAACTGGCCTGTAATTTCCGGGGTTATCCCTATTCCCTTTTTTGAACAAGGGAATGATGTGTGCCTCTCTCCAATCTTCCCGCACTATACCCGTGGACGGTGAGGACGAAAAGATCATTGCCAAAGGCCCTGTGATCTCTTCCCTCGCTTCCCATAGAATCCTTGGATAAATCCCATCAGGCCCGGGTGACGGACTTATCTTCAACTTCATCAAAATTCCTAGCACATCTTCCTTACTAACATCGACCTCCTCTAACCTACCAGCCTGTTTCACACTGTCCTCCTCTACAACTAGGTCCCTCTCATTTGTGAATACTGAAGAAAAGTAGTCATTAAGGATCTCTTTAGGCTCTGCGCACAAATTCCCTGTACAATCCTTGATCAGTCCTACCCTTTCTCTGGTCATTCTCTTATTCCTCATGTACGTGTAAAAAAGCCTTGGAGTTTTCCTTGATCCTATCTGCCAAGGTTTTCTCATGCCCCCTTATAGCTCCCCTAAACCCTTTCTTCAGCTCCTTCCTGGCTAACTTGTGTCCCTCTAGAGCCTTTTCCGTTCCTGGTTTCCTAAACCTTACAGAAGCATCCTTCTTCCTCTCAACTAACTAGTCATTCGACTTCCCTTGAGAACCAAGGCTCCCTCACTCGACCGCATCTTCCCTGCCTGCTAGAGACAAACGTATTGAGCACACGCAGTATGCATCCCTTAAAACACAATCTCCACATTTGAATAGTGCTCTTCCCTGACAGCATTTGTTCCCATTTTATGTTACCCAGTTCTTGCCTAACAGAATTGTAATTACCCTTCCCCCAATTATAAACCTTACGCTGCTGTATGTACCTATCCTTTTCCATGACTATTGTAAAAGCAACAGAGTTATGATCGCTACCGCCAAAATGCTCTCCTACCAACAGGTCTAACACTTGGCCTGGTTCATTGCCAAGCACCAAATCCAAAAGTAGCTTCTCCTTGTGTTGGTCTATCTACATATTGTGTCAGGAATCCTTCCTGAACACACTGGACAAAATCTGCTCTATTACAACTAAAATGTTTCCAATCAATATTTGGAAAGTTGAAGTCACCCATGACTACAACCCTGTGAGTTCAGCACCTTTCCAGTATCTGCCTCCCAATCTGCTCCTCCACGTCTCTGCAACTATTAGGGGGTCTGTAAAAAAACCCCCAAAGTGATTGCTCCTTTCTTGTTCCAGACCTCAACCCAAACTGACTCTGTCGACATATCATTCTCAAGCTGCCTTTCGGTAGCTGCTATACTAGCCCTGACTAGCAATGCCACTCCCCCGCCTCTTTTTCCACCATCCCTATTTCTTTCAAAGCATCTTTCAAATCCTGGAACTTCCATCAACCATTCAAAAGGTCTCTTTCAGCAATACCTCCCAGGACTTTTTCTCAACATCACCTTGAGGGCATGTGAAAACATGTGTACAACCAGGAAATATTTCAAGTATTCAACCATCTACAGTGACCTTGTATTCCAGGCTCATCTAACTTTGATGCCAAGTGAAGCCAGCCACAGTATAACTTGCATAATTTTTGTAAAAGCTGAAGAAAAATGGCAGCCCAAATTGTGGTTGGTTTGGATGTGGATGGGAATGTCTACACATGCCTGCACAGACATATTTAGATAGTTATTTGTATGGTCAGTGGGAGGAGCTCAATCCTGGCAGGGAAAAAGCTGAAATGGGAACACAAAAACAGATGTCTTTAGCATGACAATTACAGTCTGTACAAGACTGCCAGAATCCACAAAAAAGGAGTTTCAGTGAATGCAAGCAGACAGTTTGAGAACAAGTAAGTTAACGTGATGTTCACGATACTTTAAATCAGAAGAACACAAAATTAACATCAGTTATGCTCTTACACTGCACAATGTGCACTGCAGTCAATCAAATTATCCCAACAAATACCAAACCTACATAAATGTCAGGTTATATAAACCAATTGATTTCATTCACAGCAGAGTGCCAGATTTTACTGAATAACAGACGTTCTTTGCTCTTACTAAAACGTACGACCATATGACTTACAGTGTTATAAGAGAGTAAATAAAACCTGTTTGTAGCTCCTGGTCTCATTTTAGTATTCACAGAATACTATTATAATATCAAGACATTTTAAACATGTTAAATTTTTACATGTCAAAAGATAAAACCCTACTTGGGTCTTTACATCAAGGACATTCCACACACTTAAAGCTCAACTCCATCCATTCCTCATTTTGTTGTGGGTTTGATATAAGGTGTGCATTTTACAATTTTTAAAAATCAATTATTTTAGAGTTTGGATTTTGAACTCGTGGCACATTGATTTGATTTGGCTACATGAGGGAGGTTGATGATTAACTTGTCAGTATTTCTGGAGCAATGTTAATGCAGTATGTGAGATGGAGACCCCCAGATAAAATGGGGTTTGCTTACATTGGAGACAGTTATGTGCAGCGAGAGTAAACATTGAGGAACTTTTAGTTTAAAAAGGATCAAGTTTTTCTTCTGCTTACCCGTACCGGAGAGGGTCTGTCAGTTTGCTGAAGTGCTTGCTAAAGTGAGATGCATGAAATGTTTTCTCCTCAGAAAAGGAGTTTGTTTAGAATTGTTAAGAAATAGGTTACCCCAATGTTAAGCTTTTGGTTTGGAGGTTCTATTCCAAAAATGTTTGGTTAGAATGCTAAAGGGGTTATTTTAAGTTGACAAAGTCCAAGCTCAACTGTGTGATTAATCAAGGAAAAAGCTACCAAACTCTCAATAGCATAAAATCGACAGAATTAGTTTAAGTTAAACCTGTAGATGTTTTAGGGAAACAAAATCTCTCATGTTTATGTACTGTAAAATGACAGTCTTCAGATAGATGGAATTGTATGTTTGCTGTGCTATAAGATCTAAGTAAATAGCTGAGTTTATTCTATTTTATCTTCTTTAAGAAACTTTTTTTATGGCCTCCCCCTCTCTCCCTATTTATTTCAGAACCCCCTTCCCCTCCCCCATTTCTGATGAAGGGTCCAGGCCTGAAACATCTAAAGACGCCTTCCTGCTCCTATGATGCTGCGATCATCCAGCTCTACACCTTGTTATCTACAAAATTGCATGCTGGTGTTTCAGTGAAAGACCAGTTTAGTAAACTCAAAATAAGATTTATTAAATTAGATTTCAGACTGAATCTAACCTCTGCAGTAATAACATCAGTTGGAATGGTAACAAGTAAACGTGTATTAATTCTACAATATTTTGAATTAACCAGGATTTTTTGTGGTTCCAGCTTTCTTGTAATTTGATACTGCAGGAAAATAGCAAAAAGAAATCCAACACATGAATGTGCTACAACAATCGCCCATACCCCACTCACTACATGTACCCATTTGAATCTGAATACTGGGGCAGAAATCTATGTACTTTTCTTCTACTTTTACTGTCCATTAGATTTCCATTTGGATGAAGATGCACTCCAATCTTGGTGGAAAGTAATCTGCACAGCCATGTTAAAATATCTCATGTTAACACTTCAGCAAACAATTTATGTAGCAGCTTGTCCATTAACAAAGTTCCGAAATTCTTTTACTTCAATATTTCTTATCTTGAGCTGGCTAAAACTGAAATTACATTTCCTAGTATGCTCAAGCAATAGTTGATTTTACCTATAAATTTACACCTATCTTGTGTCAAACAATTTGTTCTTACATCAGGTGCTACATATTTTCTGAAATTAAAACCTGCCGTTCTTAAAAGGGAGTGACTTCCTCAGAAGCGAAATTTGTCTATGCCAGTGAAACATTACAAAGCAAAACACAGTTATGTTTTGAACCAGATTTGCTCACTGCTTTCTTTAGAACACCAAATTTAGCCAAACAAAGAGGTGAAGTAGATTGTAGATATAAAGATCATTTAAAACAACTTTTTAAGCTGAGGAAGTTGTACCATAAAATTCTATCAATAATTAACTTTCATTAAAAGTTTAATAAATTGAAATATTCAATACAAACCTTCAGGCACATCAACAGAATTACTTTTGTATGTTAATGACTAAATAATTTCAAAGGAGATTTAAGACAATTTCCTCATTGAAGGCATAAAAGACCTTTGAAAATCATGGAAAAGCTGTCAGCAACCCAACTTCTACACTATGTAGAAAATTGTTTAATTTTATTCAATATTTCTCTTAAGTGCTCGATTGTACAATTCAGTTGAAATGTCAGATATAAAGCTTTGAGCACAAGTAGAAAGAGGTGATCACATTTTCCTTAAAGCCTTACTACAGCTATTGCAATAGCAATCTGCACATCTTACATTCAGAAAAAAAAGGCAGAATAAATTGGAACAAAGGATTAATAGTATGAACAAATTTATAGCACAGACTACCCTTGAGGCGCATTAGCTACAAGCTTATAAAGAACTCAGGCAGCACATTTCCACTCCAGTGAGCTTCAAAACAGAAGAATGACTTATTTAATCACATTGATTAATCAAATCTCCAATTCCTTACACTCCTTTTTTGGTAGGCCTCAACATAAGAACTTTCAACTTTGGATCGCTCTATGATTTATTTAACAATTTAAAAATAACAATTTATTTTATGTATTCGGTTTCTGTAAGTTGAGTAGATACCAGACTGACGAAATCAGATTCTAAACAATTCCCAAATGTGCTTTAGAAAAGAGTTTTAATAGAACTTGCAAAAAGGTGACTTTTCCATCATAACATGAATTGGAGGGGTGGAAATTATACAGTGTCATAAGATATGTTCTTGACTAATCAAACATAAAACAAAGCTTTACCTAGTTTGCCTAACATCATCTTCCAATTTTATCAACTCACATGAACTCAAATAAAAGACATGCGCACTGTTTAGTACATACTCAATATTCATTTTTTAAAATCAACCTGCTCAGGTGTATTATGATAATACAGCTCTGCAGCAGATGGGTCATGAAACCAGCCTTCCAGCTCAGAGTTAGGAACACTACCACTGTACCACAACAGCCCATTCTCTATACTTATGACAACAGTAATTAATTTGGGATAATTTGCAGAGTTAACACAAATAGGATTCGAAATCCATCTTGAACACAAACCACAATTGATTGTGTTTTCCAATTGGGATCTAATGCCAGGCTCATATGGGGGGTGAGCTCATGTATGTTGTCAGCATACTGTCTAAGGCAATCCTCTGGGTTCTAAATTGTCTGTCTCTGCTCACCACAAGTTCCCAACTGCAGATCTGACTGGAGTGCCAACAGTATTGTCAGCCTGGCGGCCTTAGTGGTAGAAGTGGTGGTAAAGCAGGCAGATGAATTCAAGGGCACCTCAACAATGGGAGGCAGCCTCAACTGCATACACAGTACTATTCTATCCAAGAGCCAGGAACTGTTACAGCCATCACGTTCAAGGGGAAACCCTTTGTAGGTCTATTCATGGTCAAGGCTTCAGCCATTTATGTCTGCATCTCAACTTTGGTGCTTGGAGCCCTCTCTACTTTGCTCCTTCCTCTGGACTGCCAGCAGGTGCGCACAATAATGCTAGTAATATGCCAATGGTGGCATAACATGGTCCCAGTGGGCTTTAATTGGACTAAGTCATCACCCGCCTCCATGAAACAGGCAGCCTTCCAAATCCCTGGGCCCATTGTTTGTGAAGCTTCCGAAGCAGAATGGTAACTACGAGCTATCCTGACATGACTTCCCCCGTTTTCTCGAGAAAATCTCATTTAGCATTTCGTCAGACCTGCAGGTCGAAAGAGTACAGAGGAAGAATGATGTCTTGTCATTGTAAACTAGAAATCAGTCAGAGCTTTCATTTGCTCTGGCAGTATATTTCCTTTTGTAATTTAACATTTCAATAACTGTACAGACCTGTTTCTCTAGCTTCTGTTCTGATAATATGCAAATAGAAAAGCTTGAAAAAAATCAGATCAATTAAAAAGTCCAGAATGGCCCCTTTTCAGTGATGCCATTTCATTTTCACACTATACAAAAAGAAAATTCAGCGTGGTTTGGATTGGACACCTTCTAAAATGAAGGTCCAGGATCCAAGGACTGTGCTCAATAAAGCATGCTGATCAACTTTTTCCTTAAATACAAGTGACTTCACAACAATTTTTGTTGCAGTTCAAACATAAGTATGAACAGGATTTGGTTATTCAGCCCTTCAAACCTGCTCCACATTCCAAACGATCATGGTTGACTGTCCAACTCAGTACCCTGTTCCTGCTTTCACTCCACATCCTTTGATTCACTTAGTCCTTAGAACTACATTTAACTTCTTCTCGAAAGCATTCATGTTTTGGCCTCAACTGCTTTCTGTGACAGAGCCAACTCAACATGCTCTGTGTGAAGAAACTTCTTGTCTACGTCCTAAATAGTCTGTCCTATATCCTGTAAACCTCTGGTTCTGGACTCCCTGGTCATCAAGAGTATCCTTCCTGAATTTTCCCTATCTGGTCCTGTTAGAATTTTACAGGTTCTAGGAAATCCCCTCTCATTCTCCTAAACTTGAGTTAATATAGCCCTAACGGATCCAGTATCTCTTCAAACATCAGTACCGGTATCCCAGCAATTAGTCCGGTAATTCTTTGTTGCAATTCCTCCATAGCTTGAACATCCTTCCACCGATAAGCCCAAAACTGCCCTGTACAAGCCCAACAATAAAAATGAGATTTTTGGAACTAAACGATCTCGATGATTTAACACTTTACCTCTGTGATGTGATTTTGTAGGTTGGCTATCATTTCATCCATTTTATCATTTCTGTTTATTAGCTGGCTAAGGCCGTCAGCTACAGTACTTTGTACTGCATTTCGGAGTTCTTCCATGGAGATTTTCTCATTTTGTAACTGATAGGTCAGTTCCCTGCAATAATACAATAGGGAAAATGGTATTATTCAAGCCAGACTCACTCGATGGGATGAATCAGTAGGAATTTAATGGTTGCAGCATGCCTTTTTAATATGTTGTTTTTGTTTGTGTTTCCAAACAAAACTTCCCACCCCAATTACATAACTGTGGTTAAACCTGATATTTTGCAGCTCTTCTTTATTGGAGAGGTATTCTGCTTGTTGGGCCGAAGCAGTCTCTTTAAGTCCCAGTAGTTCATTGCTATGTTGTGCTACCTGTGACTGAATAGCATCAGTCAGCAGAGTTGTCCGATTTAACTGTTTTGTTAATGCAGTTACACCATTGGAGAGGGAAGGAAGATTATGGTCCACAAAGTCTTTGACTGCATTCATCTCCTCAGCACTTTGCTGAAAAGCTTGAAGGTCCTGACTCTCAAGTTCTAGGCTTGTAATTCTATCCATTAAACTTGACAATGACGCAGAAAGCGAGTTTACACTTTCTTCCAATTTTGAACTTGTAGACTTCACACTTGCAATTTGCTGCTCAGTCCTTGGAAATTCAGTTTCTCGGAGAAGTTCAACTGTATGCTCCACATGCTTCAACTCAGTTTTTGTTAGCAAATTCTTCCTGAGCTCACTCACTTCTGTTTGAAGAAAAGCCAACTTACTTTCCAGATCAGAGGCCTGAATCTGTGCCACAGCTACTACTGTCTTATCCACTTTACGTTCTGAATCAGACTGAGCAACTTCGAGATTCAACAACCTTTGTTCATATTCTTCTGTGGTCAACAACTAAAATAAAAGCATATTAAAAATCTTAATCAGAAGAGGTGATATTAAAGTGCATTTTTTGAACTAACCATTTCTACTTTTCACCTACCTGCATTTCTACTTCAGATCAACTAAATATTGGATACTTCAAGGTCTTCTGCACATTTCACGAAAAGAAAAAGCCCAGTTGACCATCCTGGTTTTCAATCTCTCTCCTTCAGTACATTCTCAATTTTAAATTACTCTAACATTGGTGGGTATGCCTTCAATTATCTAAGCCCCAAGTTTTGGTATATCCTCTCTACATCTATGCCCCAATGTCTGTTTTTTTTTAAAAAAAACAACTCTTTAAACAAATTTTGACCTTATATCTCCTCAAGTGGTTTGGCGTCTGATTTGTTTTATAGTGTTCCTGTGTAGTGCCTTGTTAGGTTTTAATGCCTTAAAATACACAACGTAACTAAAATTCGGAAGGGGCTCTTGTTGCAAAGTGGTAGCATCTCAGATGACCATGTTGAAGACCCACCTGCTCCAGTGGTGCATCATAACATCTCTGAACATGCTAATTATAAAATATCTATAAAATAAATGCATCCATAAACAAGGCAGCTAAGTATGTGTCACCAATTGTTTCTTGTTCTTTCTTTCTGCTCTTTAATCTCATCTTCAGCAATAACAAATCCATCTTCAGTAACAGTCACAAGTTTAATTCTGACTTATTCTAACTCTTGACTAGAGAAAGACTTTAGCAGTTGTTATCGATGATATTAGGGGTGCAGGCCTGGGACAATAGAACTTATTTTTAAAGAATATGCTGACTTGAATCCAACAGATTGTTTCAGATCCGATACTGAATTTTACTGTGGTCAGGTTTTATGCAGATATTTCAGAGCCTTAATCTGGAAAACAATGATTTGAAACTTACACCATCTCTATGGAACCAATGAAATACCACATATTCGACAGTTCCATAAAGACAGTGATTATAGGAATCAGATAAATCCAACATCAATTGGAAGTTAAAAAAAAATCTGCAGAAGCTGGAAATCAGAAACAAACACAGAAATTGCTGGAGAAACTCACCAGGTTTGACAGCAGAGAGAGAAAGCAGAGTTAACATTCCGGGTCCAATGACCCTTCTCAGGACTGGCAGTAGCTAGAGAAAGGACGGAGTGGTATATGCTAAAGAAGGCGTAGGAGGAGGAGGAGTGAGAGTAAACGATCGGTGGAAATGGAACCCAGTTGGAAGTAGTTATTCAACATCGAGAGGTGAATTAGAAGTTTGAAAATCTGCACTATGTCCCGGAAATGTTAAAAAACTTAATTAAAATTAAAAAGTTATGATGAACACAACAGTTTCCATTAACTCTTTCCTCCCCATATTCCATTCGCCAGGGATAACTGAACAGCCCGAAATTAACAATTCACTGTGAAAGATGGGGGAAGCCTACCAGGATAAATACACACCTTCTGGCTCAACTCATTCACTTCAGCCTGGATCGTATCGAACTGAGACAGCTTCTTTTGCAGAGTTTGGACGGTCTGATCGAGGCTGGCGATGCTTTGGAGCTGTTGCTGGATGTACCAGCAGCCAAAGCCGCCGCCGCCGCCGCAAGCTATCAGCAGCAGGAGGAAGGTCCACAGCAAGGAGACGCCGGCTGGAGCCGAGGGAGATTCCGCCACATTCTTACTCTCAGACCTGCTGGAGTTTTCATCCCCGCGATGTCCACCTTTCCCCTTCCGACTTCTCATCATTCCCAAACTTTCTGCCAAAACTTTTTTTTCTCTCTGTCTGCAACTTTTCCACCCTGGACCTGAAATGACGTGAACGACACGGGGAGGGAGGGGCGTGTCCATGTCAGCGATAGGCTGACCTGGTCCAATCAGAGGTCAGTCACCCCTTGCCGTTTGTCGGAATCAGCCAATAACACGAGGACGCCGAAGTTTGGAGAGAGGTCCGTGCACCAATCACAATATTTCAACTTTTAAACTTCTGATCTGCTCAATATCGAAGAAATCAGTAGTTTCTGGCGATATATTAATTATTGTGAAAATTGTGGATGCTGGAAATCAGAAACAGAAACAGAAATTGCTGGAACAACTCCGCAGGTCTAGCTAGAGAGAAAGGAGAGTGAAAGTTTCGAGTCCAGTCACTCTTCTTCAGAACTGAAGTAGTGTTTTTTTGTTTGTTGCGCACACATTGGCCTGCCAAAACAGTATCTGAAGTAGAGGGGATAGTAGGAACTGCAGATGCTGGAGAATCTGAGATAACAAGGTGCAGAGCTGGATGAACACAGCAGGCCAAGCAGCATTAGAGGAGCAGGAAGGCTGATGTTTCGGGCCTTGACCCTTCTTCAGAAATGGGGGAGTGGAATGGGGTTCTGAAATAAATAGGGAGAGAGGGGGCGGCAGATAGAAGATGGATAGAGGAGAAGAAAGGTGGAGAGGAGACAGACAGGTCAAAGAGGTGGGGATGGAGCCAGTAAAGGTGAGCGTAGGTGGGGAGTTAGGGAGCAGATAGGTCAATCCAGGGAGGACGGACAGGTCAAGGGGGCGGGATGAGGTTAGTAGGTAGGAAATAGGGGTGCGGCTTTAGGTGGGAGGAAGAACAGGTTAGGGAGGCAGGGACGAGTTGGGCTGGTTTTGGGATGCAGTAGGGGGAGGGGAGATTTTGAAGCTTGTGAAATCCACATTGATACCATTGGGCTGCAGAGTTCCCAAGCGGAATATGAGTTGCCGTTCCTGCAATCTTCGGGTGGCATCGTTGTGGCACTGCAGGAGGCCCAGGATGGACATGTCATCTGAGGAATGGGAGGGGGAGTTGAAATGGTTCGTGACTGGGAGGTGCAGTTGTTTATTGCGAGCCGAGCGTAGGTGTTCTGCAAAGCAGTCCCCGAGCCTCCGCTTGGTTTCCCCGATGTAGAGGAGGCCACAACAGATACAGCGGATGCAGTATACCACATTAGTTTTGGATGTCCAAAGGACTTAGCGGGCAGTGTAAAAATGCACGCTCTTTCTTGGTTTTAATTTGTTGCTTGCTTAACATTGCTCTTTGTATAACTCCTCAGTATGCAAAGGGAGTTTGCAAACAGGGGTTCCCCAATGTCGCAATGGATAGATCTAACTAAATGTTGCAGAACATTCCAAGTAGTTGGGCTATGCCATACCATCTGACCCTCATGAAGATGTTTAGGTAGAAAAAGCATCTTTGACTGCATATACATAAAATGTCCTTGAGGCCCTGGGGCAAAAAACGATGGTAGATCTCCCAGAGGAAAAGAAAAAGTTAAAAAGTGGTAAATCATGGCAATGAACAACTGGTCATACGAGAGCGCTGGTCTCACCTCCTCCACATGCTGCTCTCAAAGTCACTCTGGTGGGGAAGAGATTGTTTACCATCTCCTTTTCAAATGTGCCTTTGCATGGAAGTTCTGGAGAGAAATGCAATGGAATTTGTTGAGCTTCATACTCATGAGCTGTGTGACACAGGATTCTCTGCTCTATGTTCCAGGGACACACATCAAGACAAACAACAACTGTTCCTGGGAAACCATCAGTGAAATCTACTGGTTTTCAAGTGCAAGGGATTGTCCTCAACTGAGTATTGTGAACTGGCACATTCCAAATTCCAGGACTCCATACTGAGGGATGAATTTGGGGCAGCTGTTGCAGAGACACAATGGGGAAAGGTCACTGTCTAAGACTTTGCAGCCATAGTATAGTGTAGAGCTGGAAACTGCCATATACCTCAGGCTGTGCATTTCCAAGAATGTGTGTCATAAATCAAGAGTATTGAAAATGAAATGAGGACCACAGAGTGAAGCGTGTTACACAGAACATTTATTTTATTGTTTACAAATGAGACACTCAATAAGGCTTTAGAAATGACTTGGATAGAAACAATGTGTGAGAACGTGGGTACAAAGGCCAAAATTTGCATCAGGAAATGATGTTTATTTGAAAAATACAATCATTGCATTCCAAAAATGAATAAATGGTGTGGGATCGTATTCAATCACGACCGAGATTGGTAAGTGGTGAAAATAGCCACCTTATTGAGCATCTGCAGTAGCGCAGTTCGAGGTGGTGATGGAATCTAAAGTAAAGTTTTACAGTAGCCTCTTTTATACATTAATATTTTAGCACTATGGTGTCCCACATTTGTATCTATTGAACACAAGTTTGCGTGACATCTGTCTTGGGGAAGCAGGAGATGGTTTAAGCACTTGCTAAAGTTACTTCTGATGGGATTAGAATGTCTGCCCAGTCTGAGTTTGCGTAATTAAGAGGTGTCAGTCCTTTTGTCTTTAACATGTGTAATGTTAGTAAAAATACTAGACCTATATGATCTAAATAAGTGAGAAATTATATGTGTACTAAATATAAGTATAGAGGATACTAAACTGCTCTCCCACAGTTGGATTATGAGATTTCATTTACTATTGCTGGTTTTGACGATTCTTACACATTCTTTCATGTAGTTTCATGAACATGTTGTTAAGATAGTACGTTTCTTAAAGGGGGCAGTGGCTCTATTTAATTTGTATTTAAGAAGTATAAATCCATACATCAGAACAAGATTGTAGTCCTAAATAAAAGTTAGAAATAAATAATGCAATGTTTATAGAAATAGGTAGTGAATAAGGAAATTTCAAAGAGATAAAGAGCAGCAGACTGTAGGGACATGACAGTGGAGGAAACTGTTTGATGTCCTGCAACCTATTCAGGTCCTGACAGATGGTTCCTGAGGGCTAATTAATATTATAATCTTTCCATAGTTTCGAGTGAGTTATGGAGACATGGTGGCTGAGAAGGCATTGCTCTGAGTGGGTTACAGTATTAACACTTATTCAGGGGTAACCTTTGATATGGGAACAGGCCTAAACACTGCTTGCGGCATGGGGCCAATAAGAATTGAAAGGTGTAAAGAAACAGTAATGGGTTGGAAGGGATATTTAATTTAGTTTATCCTGTAAGAATAAGATGCACTACAAAAATGCGTTTTTATGAATGAGAGAATGGAAACACAGTATAGTTAACATAGAGCGCTTGTAAGTGAGTTAGTAAAGAGTTGTGAATGAATGAATTGAAATGCAGTGTAGTAAGCATAGAGTGCTTGTGAATGAGTTAGTAAAGAGTTGTGAATGAATGAATGCAAACAAATGTGGTCAAGTATGCATAGAGCGCTTGTGAGTGAGTTAATAAAGAGAATCATAATACAGTATCTCACAGTCCCCCCTTCTGATTCTACTGAGACCCTTCAAATCACTCAATTCTTATAAGACATATAGAGATCAGTATTTACATGTTACTCTGAATGGGTCGATAGTACAAAAACTGCAATAGCCATAATTGAAAACAGTGGCCGTAGACAACGATGGTGGTCCCACTGTACTGTAGGATGCCTGTTTGATGTGGGAGGTGTGAATCCAGGCCCTCTTTCTTTGTACCTTGACAGCCAACTGGGTGATCAGCAACTCCTGGTATGGTCCCTCTTACTTCATGCCTCAGGGTTCCTTGTGGATCTTTTTCACAAGAACCATTCGCCTGGTATGATGTCATGATCTCACTCCGGCGGGTCCTTCCAGGCAGCCAATACCTGTGAGGAGGCAGAACTTACAGCATCTGTTAGTGCTTGACAGTAAGACAGTAGGGCATCAGTCATAAGGTGATAGTCAGCCCTCTGTAGGTCTATTGTCCCAGATAGGGACATTGGCCTGCCTGTCACTATTTCAAATAGATTCAACAGGAGTGATTAGAGACGGATCATCTTGTTGCCTGATCTGCCAGGGCATTACCCTGGACTTGCATGGTAGTATCTTTAGTCTGGGCCACTTCTTTGCGCAGCTGGAGAGCCTCCAGCAAGTCCTTGCCTTCTTTCCCATTTCTGATGGGGTTACCTGCAGCTGTTAGGAATCCACACTGTTCTCATAGTTGGCCAAAGTCGTGGGCAAAAGCACAGCGAGAGCCTGTGTAAATGTTGCAGACTGATCCTCTTCTATTCTGTAGGCTTCAGTCAGAGCTCGTAATTCTGTTTGCTGTGCTGATGCTGCAGGGGATAGGCTTCCCGATGTCATAACAGTGTGGAGTGTCATGACAGCCCATCCCGTTTTCCTTATACCTTTTACCACAAAAAAGATCCGCCAGTGTAGAGGATGAGGTTTGGATTTTGTAAAGCCTCATTCATCATTTGGTTATCATCCTCCAATTCCTGCAGGATTCCAGCACAACCATGGTTATCTCCTTCCCCTACTGCAGGCACTGGTAATAGCCTGGCTGGATTGACCGGGCTCGCACAAACTACCTGTAGATTAGTGGCTTCTAGGACAGCTGCCCATCAGGTCCACCAGGCAGCATTTACCTGGGATACTCTGTTCATAGAGAGCAAAGTGCATATGGCACTTGAGCATTTAACTATTAATCTCTGATCTGACACCAGACTTGCAGTAACTTCCCCTGTCATCCACGTAGTTTTCACCGCTCTCAAACAGCTCCCCCATCCGAGGGCTACACTGTCCAATTTCCCTGAGTAATACCCAACAGGTCTCAACCTGTCCCCGTGTTCCTGGGCCAGAACCACTATCATATAGCCCTCCTTCTCTTAAAACAAATAATGTAAAGTGTTTTCCAATGCTAGTGCAGAACAAAGTGCTCTCTTTTGATGCTGGAAGTCTTCTTCCTGTTCCTTTCTAAATGCAATTTGTTCTTTCGAGTCCCATTTCCCCTTTAGGAATTCTGTCGGGCTGGGTTAGTTGGGTATATGAATCAGCCCAGCACCAGTTTAAGTGACACAGACCCAGGAAAGCTCTCAGTTCTTGAATTGTCATAGA